GCGACTGTTTCAAATGTAAATCTTTGTTCTTATAGTTGCTTGAAGAAGCTCGTTTCGGACCGAGATAGTACACCACCGCCATCGTTGTTCCCGATTGATTTCCACTTCTTCTCAGTTCAGTCCAGTTCCTTCCTTCAGGCCTTTTCAGGGCATTCTTTTTCACTGTACAGAATCTGTTGAAATAGGCTATCCGCATTACGTATTAAGGCTCCAGCGCCTGCATCCCACCCTTGCGCTGCCATATACTTCTCTTTGGTAAAAAACGACGCTTGTTTGTCCGCTTGTTTTTTTCTACAGGTTGTACATTGACCGCTGCGTTCGAGTGCGTACTTCGTTAGTAAACGGACTCTACCGTTCGCAGTCTCATTTCAGAGCGTTAAATTATCATACTCGTTGAAAGAAAAGCATACTAACATATAGGGGCTGGAATAGTACGGTGAAAAGACCACTTCGTTTTGTTTTTTGTGTTGACATCTACTGGTTTTTCTGTAATATCTGATTTATCTTATTGATATTTTAGGTATGAATAATGCTAACGTACTCTGTGTGAAGCTGTAAAAAGAATTATCCGAATGTCGCCAGTCCTATCCGTATTGTCCGCGTCAAATGTGCAGTGTGTAATATCGAAGATTAAGCTCAAACATATTTGCAACTGTGACTATACCTTTGAAGCAATGAGACATGTCAGAATTAGTATATAAACCGCCTTAAAGTAAATGCTTTGTTTTGTATTTGCGGCTGTTGATTTCAAGCATAGCAAAGTACAATTATATCATCACTGACAAATATGAAATTCTAATAAATGCATTGATTAGAACAATTTCGGGGATAAGCCTACTTCTCTTCATGTGTTCGTGAAAGGTTTCGGTTGACGTTCACCACGAACGACTGACAATTCCGAAAAAAAAAAATCTAGAATGAGATAGCTAATGTCAGTGTCAACTTTTTTCGTGATAAATCTCGTTAATAAAACCTAGTGCAATTTTCATGCATTAAGCCTTGTCACAAAACCTTGCTAGTCGGTCATTTTTTTCTTTGCAGATCTACTGAGGAACGACGGATGTCTCTGCTGTAGTGGCTGTAGCATTTGTCGTATTCTGGTCGTTGCCAATCGTTGCTTCTATTCCACAAGGGCGTCAGGGTTGGGTGATTTCACTGGTTTCCCTAGTAGCAACATGCCTGGTCCAGACGGGCGTTATCTTCTTTGCCGCGGTAGCGTCAATGTACGCTTACAACACAACAAGCAGACCAGTCAACAAAACGAGCAGATCGGCAGGTGAAGACAGACTTCTTCGAAAGATGGAAAAGATTCCATATACCTGATATAGAAGATGAAGTAAAAAGTATTTTCTGACGGCTGTTGCAGGCAAAGGATAAGAACGTCTGTGCCACTAAGTAGATGTACCTTGTAGATGCTATATCCGACATGAATGTATAAAATATTTATAGTTTTGTTCTTCGCGTCTGGGTATCATTTTAGGTTCCCGTAATGGATTGCAATGGACGCAGAAGTGACCGCAAGGGATTGCTTCTACTTTCTTTTTTATGTTGTGTGTATTTTGCATTTAAGTTGACAAGATAATATTGGTTAGATAAAGTTATTTGTTATAAACGTTTCGACCCGCCTTTATTCGATATTTGTCTAGTTTTTAGTGTAGTGATATTTATTTTTAATGTAATCTTGATCTTTACAGATGACATACACTTGTTGCACTTGAAGTCTGCTTTGATAAATGAATCTGAAGCGTTTTTGGAAGGGAACAAGAGGATGCTTTTATCCTTGTGCTTGGCCTTGTTAAGGCTAAATTATATCACTTGTGTGTGACGCTTGCAAACATTTTTCGAATTTCTGCTACAATACCCACCATAATAACGTAGCAGCGTCTTTAACCAGATGCGTAAATTTAGTCGACACTCAAACAGTTGAATAGATTTTTAGGAGCGCCATGGTGGTCACCAACTACAAAATCAAAGTAAAAATCTCGCTGCTAAACCTTCTCGTCCCCAGGCTCACACTCTTAGAAAAAAAAAGTTGTCCTCAATCTGACATCAGTATACTTCTTTCGAAACATTGAAGTTTTGATACTTGTTCGCTATAAATGAATTTAAAATGGTAAGGTGTCGCTATTAAGATCGCCGCTGTTAAACACTAATTCATTTTGCATAGATACGGCAATAGAGTATTGTATAAATGATTGTAAATAAATGACTTTACATTTTCTATAGAATATTTGTAGAGAAACAGCTAGATATGCCTACCCAGTAGGCTACAGTGTGTGCATCCGCTAGTATAAACTGGTTTATTATTGTTTTCGTTATTATACAAACATAACACGTAACAGCGCCTTATGGTATATACAACCTAAAAGAAACAATCATCTGAAGAAGATAGACTTTATAAGCGGGCAAGGTAAAATTGATAGTTAACTACATTTTCAAAGTTGCTTTCAGGGGCGAAAACGGAATTTCGGAAAAATCAAAATGTCTTCCTGAGGCTTTTCTAGTTACTAAACGAGGAAGGGTGAATATCCAGAACTCGAAGCAGCGTACTATAAGCCGTCGCTCTGTTTTACCTTACGCGTACAATACGGACGTTCCAGTATATCGACGAGATCTTCTCTAGCTGCCAGATTTTCCTCATAACGTTTGTATGGTTATATCAGAATCAAGTAATGATCATATATATAAAGGGTTTCCTAATTATCCTCGTCACTTTCATGCTCATCTGCACGCAGATAAGCATGGAAGTGACTAGAGATCTTATTTCGACTATCTCGACTTCAGCCTTTCCTTAACAAGCTGACGTACTCTGCCTATTTTCGCTCCCATTTACGAAAAGCTTGGGGCGAATCAAAAGTCAGCTATGGCTCGTCGTAGCCAAACGATGCGTACCGGCTGATAGAGGAGATAGATTCTGCGACCTGGGTTTTATCCCTGAAAAGTCGAATCGTTTTATGTACTTTACGACTACGCACTTGCATATACTCTGACGAAGCATGCATTGGTTTTACATTTTTCATTTGGCTTCTTAAAATAGACTATGTTTCACCAGTTCAGCGCTGAAATTATATTCAGTAAAAGATCGAAAACACATTGTCTATTCACGCTCTTACGTATAATATGCAGTGATTATAGTAAATTATTAGAAGAGTAAAAAAGAAATTGCGTAAAGTGAAACGGAATTTGTTTTTGACGAACAGCAAACAAATAAGAATACTTAAAAAACGCCTGCGATATATATGTGCCTTCTTAAAGCCTTATGTAGCAGGGCTAAAATATAGAGCTTAGTTGGGTTATTTTTACCGACAACAGCTGTTGAGTTTTGTCGTCTTACTGAAAAGGTACCGAGATAGGTTTTTGACCCACCCGGTCCCCATTATGATTCGCCAGCTGAGCATCTGGGTTTGTGGGCAAGATTTCTTGTTACCGTCACTGTTTGGCACGTTCCTGGGATACGGTAAAAGGCCCTTGCCCAGCCCGAATAAACCTGGGTAGGTCTGTGTGCTGTGGAATTCATTAGATCGAAAGGTTGCATGTACGATCGTCTGTCTTCGACGCAACGACTGTTGCTCGCACAACGTACAGTTGTAGCCTATACCACTAACTGGGTACCCTAATTTCGGATTCGACTGAATTCGTCTATCTTTTCCTAGCTTAACTAGGATATTTGGCTATTTCAAATGGTGCTATTCATTAAAACTTTCTAAACGTGATAAAAATGCCGTTATAACATTGTAACCAAAAAGTAATCAGAAGAGCTTCATATATTTTTTACTGAGAATAATTAATTAGTCCATTAGAAAAAGCAAAAACGAGACAATGTAAGATAAATTAAACAGCCCGTAAACTGTCTTTTTTATTAATTAAAATTAAATTATCTTTAGGTCAATAGTTTATTTTAGGGACTCGAAACGTAGTTGATTTTGGGTAAAGTGTCCAAATCTGCTTCGATGGCCTAAAGCTGTCCTTATAATCTCCATTTATTTTTAGTGACGCGCAATTAACTATTTTTTATGAGTATTCTATTTTTTTTTTAACTACACACATTAGACATTTTCAAAATAGTATGTTCAGGCCATTTTCAGCATAAATCACGGGAACCAATATCTTCTTATGCTTCACTACATCAACAATTTTTAAATTGGGAAAGCTCAACGTTAGACTGGCGCAGGAGTGATGCAAAAAACGCATTTTAAGTGAATTTCGAAGACAAAATTAACTGTGTAATGCCAAATGGAGAAAAAAGTCTGAGAGAGAACGGAGAAAAATTCAAGCTAATATATTATAGTTAATTACAAAATACAGCCAATACAACTCTAATCGAATTGCGCTTAGACAAATCAAGTAACAGAAAAACAAAAGAAAACCATTAAACGCTCGTTGTGGCACCAGATAGTATTGTATCAAAGCAATAACTTTCTTTTTTTACACAGGTTTATTCTGCGTCGGTTGTATATACCCTGTGATATGCCGTGATAGCTTAGTAAGTAACGTATTTGCCTGCTAACGTTAAAGACATGTTGTGGTCTAGATTCGTCCCGTGATGGCTGGGAGCCTGCCGTCTGTCTGACGAAATGCCTAAGGGCGATACCAGACGAAAAACTCAAAACCTAGGGATATATACATTATGCGACCAGATTATGTTAGAACAAGCTGCATGAAACCTTTGACTGTACATTCTGTCTAGCTGATCTGTCTAGATCTTTGAAAGCTTGGCCTTCAGTATTTGAGTCAGTTTCAGCTACGTAATATCGTTTCATGGCTGTCTATCACGCTGAAGTAACAACACCTGCACTTGCATGGTAAATCGTATCGTCTTGCACAAGGGTTAATGGTTTTTCTGCGGAGAAAAAGTGCCATGCTTTTCGTGTAGTTATTTGAGCAGATACCTAACCAAACTTTTACTTGTGTATTGTGATGCGCTTAAGGCCAAACAGCCTAGTCGTCAACCTAAAAGGAGACCTCCTTGCGTCTCTGCGAGGGTCTGTGGGTGTGCCAGTCGATGGTTCTGATCGAATGCCTTCTTAAGGTCGACAACAATGCGCCGCCTAGAGTTCGCAGTGTCGTGTCACAGGCTCATGTGATAGGCTCATCTTATTCGTTGGTAGGTTCAGCTTCTGTCATCATAGTCTTAGCTTTTGCCTTGTGCTAGTATTAAACGAAATAGAGTATTTCAGTTTCAATGATAAGTGTATTACAAATATCACGTTTGATAACAATAGTTTTCCAAATAATTAACAACCTTAAATTGACCACAAATTTACTCAAACCTTGAATTTACCCTCTGTTTTTTACATAATCATCTTCCCAATCACGACTTAATAACTCCATGCGAATGTGATCCTTACTATATGTTAAAATCAATAGCGAGTCCTAGCTGACCCCGAATTACGCGTTATTATCGCGCTCATCGTATCAGAGCTATTGAGAAGCCACATCTTTATACCTCGATTATTTACCTACCAGAAATAATAATAATGGAAGATAAAGAATGTGATCCAGCTGAAGTGTGAGTTGTGAAAGTTCTAATGAAAATTGTATTACACTTCTTGCTTAGTTGATCAGTGTAATTGTTCAGGATGACGTCCTACAGGCCCATTGATCGCCGGCCCAAATCTACCCTGATCACCTCAGTCTATGATTTGGCCGCTGGGCTGGCACCACATTCTAACCTGGCACGTGATATTCAGCGTCACTATGATCTCGAACGTCACAGAAAGTACAACGCAAAATGTGAGATGCCGGACACGAAGTTCACATACTGGCGGAAGGATATGGCACGGAATAAACAGGTTTACGAACGATACCCGTTGACAACTTCGAGGTAAGTGAACCAGGCTACAAGTACAATGTATAGAGCTATTTTAGTAATACAGAGTGAGCCAGCGATGAAGTTCTAGATCACGTCGACCTTTGAAATGGAGCATAGTTTTTGTTATTGCCGCTAAATTTTGCTATTGTAAACAATTAAACTATAATATTATGCGTTGAGCGGAAAAAACGTGACAAGGAAATTCTGTTTGGGTCGTCGTCTTTCTACAAAGACATTTTAGTCCAACACGGAACCGTGAAGTGGCGCGATGTCACTGCGAGCCATTGATTGCATCGCCCGTGTAATTTTAGTTCGTTTAAATAAATAAATAAATAAGATCCGCGATCAGTTCCCGCAAATCGGCACGAGACAATCCCAAATTTGGCGTCCAAGAATATGTCTCATTAATTATTGTTCGTTCGTTATCGTAGTTCTTTACCTTGTCACATATGTACGTATCACTGAACAGTCACGTCTTGAATATATGGTAAATTTGATAAAAGTCATAATACAGGTTCCTATTGGGCAGTTACACCACGTACATGCATGTTTAATAATTACGTACATTATTAGTACCAAACACTAATAACGATAATAATTATTATTAATTCGTGTTGGTATTACAGATACGACTTCCTGATGCCGCATGTTCCCCTCCGCCGTAAGAAGCCACAGGTTTGGTACAAGCATTACCACAAGGGCATAGACAACATTTTCGACCTTCCTTATAAAGCTCTTTATTAGACAGTACGTTTCGCCCAGGTTACTGCACTCCAAACGTGCTATTCCATACAGGACACTATAGAAAACATGTTTGACCACATTGTACTGTATATAATATATAAATTCCGATTATATTACGCTCATACATGACTATTTCTGCAGTAATTGAATAAATATTCTTGCTAAAAATGGTTGATTCACGTTAATTTATGAGTGAGGCTTTAGTTGGATACCCTTTGCTGTAAAAGGTAGTCACTTCAGTGACCGTAACGTTGCTTCGATCGACGAAGTCTCGCTCCCAAATACTTCAAGTGGGACAAAATTTTATACTGTTAGGTGATAACCCATAAGACATCGTTGCTTGGGATTCGCAGCATCACATGGTACCTTAGAGAGATGGCGATGTGTTGAATGGTGATAGAAACATACACATCTAACCGAACAGGTTGACGCTGAAGGGTCGTTCAATCCAGAAATCATCGTTTTCAACATATATATTTAGTAAACGGCCAATGACAGCTGAGTGTCAGAGCGGATGTTCACGACAAATTAATCAAAACTTCAAATTTACGAGTGCTCCGTATTTTAGCTTGATATGTAAAAAAATACGCACGACTACAAACGATTCTGGCTGGGATCTATGTAAAGATTTAAGGAAATCCATATTTTTTATTCACAGCTTTGTAACTATTGCAGGCAAAGTGTAAACTAATCTCCGACAACACACCTGATCTTAGTTTTAGAGAATAATACGTTTAACAATATATTTGACGTAGCCATACGTAAAATACTACTGGAACTTGAGTCCAAATCTCCGTATAACAGATAAGCTTCACAGCTCATGGTACCATCAAATACTAAACTATCGAGTTGCTATGTTCTTCATTGTTAGGTTACGTCTTCGTATAGGCTACGGAAAAATAAGATATAGTACGATTAGGATTTTGTTGGTGGCTTTTGTTGTATACGAACGCATCCTGATGACCGCTGCTAAATATCAGAGATATAACTTGATTTTAAATATGCCAGCTTTAGCTATCGACGCAGTTTGAACGCACTTAAGCGCAGAAGAGTATCATCATTTAGAACGTATTATTTTTATATTTATGGTAAAAATGTACGGACTAGAATGTAAAATTGGACTAATTTGGAAAACTGACAATTAGTGTACGTATGAAAAACCTAGGCGTATTGAGCCATTTTGGTTTTAAGAGCGACACGATACTTGCGTATATATGCTAACATACGGCCTAGAATTGTCCGCGTTCTCAATTAGCTTTTGTCAAAGCGATTCAACACTGACTTTTGTCCAATTACTTCAGCGAGACCGTGCCAACATTGTCGAGCTTTCGTTGTAACTTTGCTTTACCCTGAAATCTTTCCGCGGACGCTAATACTGTGTGCGCTTATGCACGCTGAAAGCACGTGTCGACCGAAAAAGAGATAGTTTTGGTAATAATCCTATTTACGATCTCCCAAAAAAGCAGTGGCAAGACCTCAACGTTGTTGGGTGGTCAACAACTTCATCCATCCTCGAATTAGTCAGCTTTTCAACTTCACCCTCCTCTCGTCCCCTCTAATCGTAATAGCAGCGTATCTTAGGCAATTTATTTGCTCTACATTAGATAGTAATAGTGACAGGAACACCTACGATTATATATACTATTAGTGCGAGCGGAAAAATGTACTTTTAGCCATAAAATTCTGCCCATTTCTGCAGTTATATCGAATCAGAAAAGGGGAATATGAGGGGCCCGTTCTTACCATTCAGTGGCAAAGTTCACCCAGTACGCTTCAACATGTAAATAGATATTTCCAGTTACCCTTACGTGATTTCGACCATATTGCCAGTTATCCTACCACTATCACTGAAATAAGGCAAACTAATTTAATTTATTACTGACTGGAAGTCACTCTGATTTTATATGGCGTTCCTCGGTAAATGCATTGGAACAGTGCAAAAGTTTAGTTATTATCTAGTAGTAAAAAGAAAAAGCCAAAACAGACAAAATTTCAGGCTTTAATAGACGATTCTCTATGTAATATCCGCAAAATACAACTTGCCCTAAATAGTACAACCTTGTTTATACGGATGATTTTATTCTGATGGCGCGATGCCGGTTGGTGCCTACCAACAAGTCTATAGCATTTTATGAAATGGGCGTGCAGCTTTGTTTTTTTTACTTTCAGAGAAAGCTGTTCGGCTAAACGATCGCACAGGACAGTTGCCCGTCGTTGCTTTACTCCTCGTAAAACAACTTCTTCAGACACCCCTCTCACCCAGCGGCGGAGCTCCATCCTTTATATATCGAATCCAGCTTGGCTTATTCCGAACCGTGTGTGGGCGGTACTCCATTGAAACGATCTGCCATTTTGTCCAGTAGCAGTGGAGCGTACACCACAATGGGCACTTTCATTGCCTCTGACCTCGCCTTCACTCTCCTCTTCTGAGTCCGCATAACTCCCACGACGACGACGATTGCTACTTCTACTGTCTCCTGCTTCTGATCCGCCGTGCTCCTCTATTTCTAAAGATCTCGTAGACGCTGGCACTGCAGCCATCGACTGCACATCAGTCACCCTCGGGAGGAGCTCGGGCTGGTCCTTAGCTCTATCCAGGCTACGGTTCCCCTTCTTCTGATATTTGGGTGTGTACCCGTGAACTTCCTCCTTCCCACGCTTTCTCTGTGAGCTTCTTCGTAAAGCTTTCGTAAAGTTTGCCTCCAAATCTTCCATCATCATCAGCAGAATCACCGGGAGCATCATCGCCATCAAGATCACCGCCATAATCATCATCATCATCCTGCCAGCCCCCTCGCCGTTACCATTCTACTCCTGGGCACCATCATCACGGATACCATCAACAACTCTGCCACTGAAGAGAGGCTAAGGTCTGTAGCCAAGTGCAGTTCCCGCCCACCACTGCAGTCCTGCAGCAGGACGCATCTGCTTCGAAAAGGCGTTAAGGCGCGGAGGCAACGAGCGGAACGGAGAAGCAACGAAAAGAGACAGCGAGAGAGACGGACCTCTCAACGACTATTTCTCACTCCCGATGCGACTGGTAGCGATAGAGATCGGCTGAGATGGCGTAAGGGAAACCCACGGCTAGTCATAGCCATTCGCCGCCGTCACCACCGTTAAGCTCAACACCAACCAACGAAGGCCAATCGTTGAACCGAACCAAGCGCCTGCCACGTTTTCGAATCCGCCTCCAGCACGAGAACCGGTAGCCTTACCACTGCTGCTGCCGCCGTCGCATGCCAGCAACTAACTCACACGCCCAGCTGAAAGAAGAGCTTTAAGCTTCTAATTTTACCCTCATTCGCAGCACATTCGCATTGTGTCTTCCTATTCGACGCTTCCATCATTTCCACTCAGACGGTCCTGTCCTTGATCACAGAGGAGTGGCCGTAACTGGTGGCGGTGTCTAGTTTTCGTCCTTCAATTCCAGCCGCCGCTGCTGTTGCCGTTGCCGCCAGAATATCCTCCGTTATAATGGTCAGGCCGTTTTTATGCGGTCAAACTGCAATGACTCCCTCTGTCCCTTTTCCTCTCCCCGGTGTTAGCGGCTGGACGTTATCTGATCAAATGCAAAACTCGCTTGGGATCAGACGATGCGAAACGGAATAGAGCGAAATTCGTAGCAAGCGCTCGATAATGTTTTAGGCGTAAAAAGAGTTGGGGAGGAGCAGATTTAAGAAAAAAATGTCGATGGTGTATACGCGTATTCAGTATAATAATGGAAAACGTATGTAGATATTAGGGAGTGTCATTTTCTTAAAGACGTATTACGAGAAATGTAGTCTAATAGATCTGGTCAGCCCTTAAATCCTCTAAATCTCTTCACACGGTGACATAAGCTTAGCTGCATGTATCAGGAAACTGTCAATGTCTTTCTCATACAATAGGTCGAAACGAATTGCGCCCTCGATCCGTGATAATATGAATACAAATCATTTAAGTATATCGCTACTTAGAATTTTTTTGCTATAAATTTCAACGCATCTGTACTGTATCATTCGCACATACAATTGCACACTTTCAAAAAACAAAGACCGAATTTTGTCGTATTTGCGCTACCCTGTGAAGTAGGAAGAAGACCTTTTCCTCTTTTCGGGTCGAATTAATAATGAGCTGATGAGGGGTTTTTATATTGCGCCTTGCTGAAGCAAATAGAAAACAGATGAGTACACTGCAGGGTTACAGGCATGCGATATATAGAGCGGCTGCGCGAGAGTGAAAAGACGCAAATATTTATTTAAAGAAGGATAGAACTAAGGAGCGTTATGAGTGTCACCTGCAGGACACCAGGGGTAACAGAACAGCTCTTGTGACACATTCTGCCGCGCGTCCATTTTCAGATTAAGCCTCATTTTTTCTATAATAAACCATTAATCATATGTTGATGTTCAATTTATTTAGTACGATTCTTGTTGGGGTTATCCAAAAAGACGCATAGACGAAGCTTAACTTGGCAGATTTCTGTTTATTGCTCATTATATATATATATATTGAAAAAACGTTGGTCATTCTTGAGACAAAATTGAAGTAGAAATATTTTTCTATAATATTATTAAACAAAATATAGGTCGTTTCGATCGATAATTTTTCCGCTAGTACCACAATCCTGTCACTGTGAGACTTTTGAGGTTGTTGGGTAGAAAATGGTGACAAAGCTTTGCAGAGACTGAAACAGTTAACAGTCGGATGGTACAAGATCCGCGGCGGTTGCATGAAAGTTTCTAATCCAAGTTCTTTGAATTTTTAGCGAGTAGCTCAAGATGTGTGTCGTCTGACATTATAATCGCAATTGAAATCTTTTTTTCAATGGCTTCTTTTCATCTTGTTGGTTGTGGACAGTAGAGATCCGAATCAATAGTTTCACCACAAATAGGACTAACGAAGCACGACTCTTTCCCCAATGCCACCAAAGCGTAAACCTGCTTGGCCCAAGTGTCATGTTTGGCCGCAGATTGTGGAGCATAGCTTTTTTATTTGCACATTATTACCGTGTGTGATCCACGTTTAATCATCGATGATAAAGCGCGTTACAAACGGCTCGACTTCGTCGGGTTCCTGTGAAGTTTCGCAGACGAAAATACGATCTATTGTATTCATTCACGTCAATTTGTGGTATCCAAACAGCGAATTCTCTTTTAGTGGTTAACTTCTTTCAA